ACATTGGTGAATGCCACAAATTCTCCTAAATCACTCGTACGCACAATTTAAGAACAAATTCTTGCGTGAGGCCCATTGTTCTGTCCATTATCTGATTAAGAGAACCGGGGAGTTCTCTTCTGAGTTGAAATGACCAGTCATGGCCTAAATTGAGTTCAGTTTGTGACAGAGTTCCTGTCCTCTCGTCAGGCCTGTGGGAGGCCTGCTTCGAAGCAGTAAATCTTGTTTCTTCACTCGAGGTGACCCCTACATAACGACTGGGCGGTACTGAAACTAATCATCCCTCGCAAGTACTACACCTCAAAAGCCGCCTTAAGCTGAGGAGAAGACATTGAAATATTACCTACAATCGTGAAACGTGTCAGAAGGGCTCTCCTTCCAACCAGTGCAGAAATCACCGAGAAAAAACTTTTCTTCAGCGCAGTCTGGTAGACCAAAGAGGGCTTCACCGGCAAGTGGTCATTCAGAGCTAGCATTCGCAAGTTTGATCACAAGATTCCTGCTAACCTCTTTGTTCTGGAGTCTGTGAATTGAGAGTGCGGCATGTTCAAATCTCTGCTGGCTATTCCGATCAATGAATGGGTACAGAAATTGGATAAAACAGGTGAGAAGATCTCTTACCTGTTCCGCAGCTCTCGCTGCTGGAATGATATAGTGGCTGTGAGAAAAACAACCGTCTGACCTCACAACGCTCCGCCTCCTGTGACGTCACAATGTTCCACCCCCATGTGACATCATAACGCTTCGCCCCCACAAGCCTCAGTTTTCCTATATAAGGAGACGGGTTTAAAGACTTTTCCACTTCAACTCCACTCTACAAACTCTGCAAGACGAGAAAGGAAGAAATCAACATGGCCTTACAGTCAAAACAGAACACTCTCGCATCCTGCTGGGGCATGTACAACGTTGACGTACCCGAAGGATTCAACGTACCGTATTTCCCATCTTCATCGGCCGCTTATTCTCCATCCTCCGACTCTTCATCCGCTCTTTCTCTGGGCAAGGTTCTACCGATGGTCGCTTGTAGGAGAAGAGCGAGACAGCTGGTCTCCATCGCCGAGCACAAGACCGGCATCAAGAACTAAGCTAGCGTGCACAAGACCAACATCGAGAGCTCAGCTGGTTCCTCCGTCAATCCCAGTGAAGGGGAACTAGAAATGGATGAACGCCCATCCTCTTCCTCCGTCCGAGAACGTCACTGCAGGCACACTCGCCAATGAAGCTCTGCTGATTCCGGTGAAGAGGAGCTGGAGATGGATGGACCCTCGTCCCCCTTGAAGAACTTGAATGTGATTGTGACATGAACAAAGGCCGTGATGTGGATTCGCTCAGTTGGGTGACTTCAGCTCTCGTCGGGAGAGTAAAAACTGCTGTTCTCCA